GGCGGCTCCGCGGGGCCTGCGCGGGCCTGCCCTTGCCCGCTGCTTCGCCTCAGAGCGGACCTGGGCCTGGCCCCGGCCCCGGGCCTTGAGGGGGTGGGGGCGCGGATGGGGGCCGCGAGGGGTCAGAAGGGTTCGGGCGGGGGCGCGCGAGGGGCCCGTGACGCGGCGGCACGTGACTCGGCCGCTTGGCGAAGGTGGGGGGGGCGGTGCGCACGGCACCTGGCCGGGCTCCCTCTGCCCCAGGCCGAGACGCGTCCCCGGCTCCGTCCCCCGTGGGCTCCCGTGTGCAGGCTCCCGGCGCCCGTTGCAGGGATGGCGCTGCGAATGCTCACGCCATAAATGTAAAGCAGCCCCGCATGCAGTTAGACCATTGCAAGTGTGAAGTAATCACGGGAGTTGTTGTTTTGCCCCTGCGTGAAAACCCAAAGGCTCCTGCTACATGTCAGGTTCATGGCGCGCCTGCCCCGCCCATCGCGTCATGTGTAGACTGGCCCTGTGCGCAAAGCAATTCCCGCGCGTGTCGTCGTTGCAGCCCCGGGGGAAAAAATGTAAGGCCCCCTGGGCTCTGCGTTGCGCAGATAGGTCAGTCGCGCCATACATGTAGACTGGGCCACAATGCGAAGTAATGATCACCTAATTAACCAGCGGGTCATACAGTACATTTAGACTGGTTGCATGTACAAAGTAGTTATCGCATGCTAAAAAAGACTATCCAGCTGTAAAAGAGCCAACCAGCTACAAAGTTAGTGCTTGAAAAGGCTAACATTTCTACAGCCAGTTTCTGTCCGTGTTTCACTTGAGCCTGTAGCGGGGCCCTAATGCATCAATACAGAACGGGCCATTGTTGGCAGTGGTGTGACCTGAGGAGGTTTCGGGGCCTGTGATCAAGTCAAGAGCATGATGATGTTGCAAAAAAACAAGCAAACGTGGTTTGGGGTTTAGAAAGGGAGTCCTTGTTTAGTGCTTCCCAAACCTTGCCACCTGTTCTGGTCTAAATCCAGTTAGGCCTCCACTCACTTTCTTAAAAAGTTAAAAACGGGAGGGTCCAAAGGCAAGCATGGAGGTTAAAGAAAGGGGCTGGGGACGCAAGCTGGAGGCAGGAAGGCTGAAGGAACTAAGCGTATTTCTAGTTTAGAGGAAAGGAGATTAAGGGGGGTCATGAGAGTACTCTTTAAGTAAAGGCTACTACAGAGAACATGAAGTGTGGCCGGGAGGAACACGATGCAATGTGTGCATCTAAATTCGCCCATCTCGATCTTAGGAAAACTATCCTCACTGCAGCAGTAGGATAATGCAACACATGGCCTAGACAAATCATGGGCTCACCTTCATTGAAGGTTTTCTAGAGGCAGGGGGGAGAGGGAGGTTAAGCTAGATAACCTTGAGATCCTGTCCCAGCCCATTCCTCCCTCCTGCTGACACTTCTCTCAATTGCATTAGTAAATTGAGTTGACAAAAGTGACCTTGTGACAAGAACAAAGACCTAAGTAACTTTTGTTCAAGATAAAGAGAATTAATAGGGATGCCATGATTAACCATTATTTGTAGATTTGAGTGTTGTGGTGTAATAGGATTAGGGTTGAAGGACTGCATTGGTTCCAAAAGACTCGGGCTTAACCAGTGTCTGTCGATGTGCGGAGTGGCTCGGATGCGTGGTAACTACTCGATTAATTGAGGCTGCTGAAGTGTGCTAATTGGCACACTCCAGCAGCCTCCTCATCTTGTGTATCAGCATCCCCCATTCAACAACCTTTAAGCTAAAGCTCCCCCATCACCATTTTGTATCAGCATCCCCACACTTCATAAAATGCTGCAGGCACTCTAATTAGAGTGTCTCTCCCAGCTGCTTTAATTAAAATGCCTGCCCCCCACCCCCAGACTGTGAAAACGCCCAAGGTAACTCTCGCTTGTGTGGTGGAAATGGAGAGCAAACCACAAGTGCTATTTAGCTTGAACACAGAAATTAGTTTTAGAATTAAATCCTTCCTACGGGTGCTTCTGGTTTTCAGTTTAGTTGCGTAAAGTTATGCAGATCTACACTGCACTTGACCTGGTCACCAGTATCTTGAGGCTTGCCCCTATGGAGTGCAGCATGCCTTGGTGTAATATGCCTTCATGTAAATGGTGGCAGAGCAGGAAAGATGTTCCCTCCCGAAAAAAATAGTTTTACTTGTTTGAACGTACAAGGAAGTTTCTTTGTTCCTTCCTCTTGTTCTGGAAGTAGCCGGGCTCCCAGTGTCTGATAACCCTGTGTATTCTAGGATATCCTTGGATATTGAGCTACTAAACTTCAAGAGTACACTTGTCCAGTACCTCTAAGCTGATTTCAAAATAAAGTGCTTGTGGTTTTGTTTTGTCAAGTTGCATATTCCTGTGGATGCATGTGCACTATCCATTCTCTGTATTTTTTGGAAAATAGCCTAAACCAAGGGCCTGCAGCAAAGGAACTGCTCTGCTTTCTTCAGATGATTGTAGACAGGGAAGTTGGAGTATGAGTTCCAAGAGACTAGTCAGCTGTATTTCCCACCCCCACCACCCTAAATGTGTGGAGGTCATGGATTTGAAACAAAAGAATCTTTTGTTTCAATCTTAGTCCAAGACTGAACATTACTTCATTCAGGCAGGACCTTAAATGCAACTTACTTATGTAAAGTGCCATATATTTTTTAAACCACCACCTTTCCCTCTTGCACTTAACTACTTCTAGCATCTTGCTGCAAGAAATGGAACTATCAAAGAAACTATCTGTTTCTTTACAGAGGGAAGGAAGTAGTGATCATATCTTCAGCAAGTGAATTCAAGTGCTCCCTTCCAGCAACAGAAGCTGCTATGTGCCTGACAGTGTACAAGCAAGAATTATAGCTAAACTTCTGATGGGAGACAGTACACAGATATGATCAAGTACTGGTAGCCTGTGCACATTCCCTGGCACTTGGGCTCTCTATAATGGGTGCTCCGAGTTTAAAATTAAAGCTGTCTAATTAAAATAGTACTAGAGGAGGATGGACAAAAATGTAGTATAGTGAAGTGCAGACAAGCTTCTTTGGGTAAATCTGATATCTTGTATTAGACCAGCTCAAATAGTTGGAAAAATTTCTTCTTTGCAAACTTTTGGGTATAAATACCCTCCATCAGGCTGAGGAAGCATCTGCAGTTGGTGTGTGTGCTCTTCCTGCATACCAACTGGAGACACTTCCTCAGCCTGACAAAGGGTATTTATATCCAAAAGCTTGAAAAGAAGACATTTTTCCAGCTGTCTGAGTTGGTCTAATAAAAGTTATCAGATTTACCCAAAGAACCTTGTCTGCCTACGTCCTCAGACCAACACAGCTACGCCCTACGCCCCTGTATAGTGTGAAGTGGACATTTCTGAGGAGTTGGGGACTAACATGACCTAGAGGTGGGAACAGAGCTTGATTCCTTTGTTGCCTAAAGTAAAGGAGTGGGTATGCAGATGAAGGGAACAGGGAGGGAATCCAAAGCTGCTTTGCTCCATTCTGGAATGAAAGAGGCTGAATAGTACCCACAAAGTGTAACAGCAAGACACCACTTGCAAGGTGAAGATCTGCAAGTTCTTGATCTAATCGTTACCTGAGTGAGGGTAGTTTTGAAGCACTGCATAGGTCTTCTGCTAATAATACCTAAAGATTTATTATTATTATTTTAGTGGTGCTTGCACCCATTTCCAGAAGGGAAGGATCTAGCCCTTTGTTTCCACATGAATGGAATGATGTTTACTCTTCCAAAAACATAAGGGAGCTACTAGCTTAACCCCTTCTCACTGTTACATTGCTCAGTGTTAAGGGAAATTTTTGTATCCAGTTCCTTTTATTAAGGACCTACAAAACATTTAAAAAAGAGAATTCCCGCCCCCCCCTCCAAACTTTCCTTGGTGTGTCATCTTAATCCTATTTAAAACAACCTATTAATGGTTCCTTTTTATAACCTCAGTTTCCCTAATTTGTTTAGGGACTCCCTGTTCACAAGTACAAACTAAATACTAAAACCTTAATGAGGCATTGCCACAATGTTTTAATTTGTGACAAATTATTTAGCTTGTATATACAGTCCATTGTAATATGTGGCTCCTTTAAGCTACTTTCCTAAGCAAAATAAACGTTCTCCCAAGTTTTTAAATTGGCAGTTAGTCAACACAGTATTCTTTACCTTTTCAGCAATACTAGATAAAACACAAGATCTTAACATTTCTGCTTTTAAATGTAACACCTACATGAGAGGTTTGTATGCTGAATTTCTGTCAGAATTGGGAAGTTGCAAAATTTAATCTGGAAGAACTTGCTCTGTTCAAAGCATTATGCGATATGATGGAAAAATATTTAAATCTGCAATGAAATATCAGTTTCTTACAAGCAAACAATTGTATGTTACAGGTTTTTTCCAGTCCCATGCAGTGGAAGTAGAGGTGAAAGATTCCTCCAATGCTACGTGCATATATGCAAAATGGATGATGAGCTTCTTCATAAAATATGAAACAAACAGTAGTGAATATGTAAGTATTTTGGAGTTAATAGCACTTGTGAATGCAGAGGATGAATTATTGAAGTTGTCATTGTTTTGTCAATGTTAAAACATCATCTTGCCACTGGTTCTGATAAAGCTGAAAAACAAATAGAGTATATCTGTGCTAACTAGCTACCCTTGCCTCATCACAAAAGGATTACCAAGGGTTTAATTTGTTTTAATACTTTGCCTAATTTAAAACGGACAACAGCCTTCAATTCTTATATTTAAAAATGCGAAGCTTGTTTGTTTTGGCCAGGAGGTTCTTGCCTTATCAGCACAGTGCTGTGATGTTTGGATTAAAAATACTACTGAGCAGTAGAGCAAAATGTCAAGATTTGAGACTTTTAAAGGGGGAAAAATCTGGGTGTGTTATCTGTTTACAGCAAAGTTTGCACTTGAAAAACTGACTTGAAAGCTTTTTCTGAACGCTGTTTGTGAGCATCCTCACCTTCTCTTCTTCTAAAAGTTTTCCAGCCCTTCTTTCTCACACTTTTTAAAATGTGAACCGAATCTAAATGGACTCGGATACGTTCCTGAGTCTCAATTGCTTCAGTGCTTCTTACTCATAGCTATTGTTCTGCTAGAAAGATGTAAGGCTTCATGGCTGCTGTTCAGAGCTGCGCCCAGCAGTGAAAGCAATAAGACTCACCTCTGTTGCATTGTTGAGGAGTTTGAGCTTCAGCTTCCCCAATACCATTCCTCCAGCTTCTAGGTTAATTTCCTTGCTAGTAGAGTAGAAAAAACTACATGGTCATCACAGTAGTTTTGGTTTAAAGTCAAGCACCACACTTTCGGGTTCAGTTCTGAGAGAGGTGGGTTTTTTACTGAATATAAATTAGTTTACTGCAGATAAGGTCCTTGAACTACTGTTGCCTTTTCAGTTACTGGATTTTCCTGTGAGATTTTTATAAAGATCCAAAGCACTAAATGCCCTTAAAACAAACCAAATCAACAACAAAAAACTGTGCTTGAGGCTCACCCTGTTGTCCACAGCCCAAACTTCCATGTTAGTCTGATGCTTTTTTAGTTGAATAGAAATTGTTTACAGGTTAAAATGGGCAGTTTTCTATTAAACAGCTACGTCTGATTTTGCTTTGGGATTCACACTTCATGTGATTGGATTCAGGTTTTTTCCTGTAACAGCCCTGATTCAGAGGTTCAGTATCCAATTTTTTTCTTGCCTTTTTGGTTTGCGGGTTTTCTAGGAGGAAGGCAAGTCAACTATGAGAACTGTTCTGACAATTAGTATGTCTCATTAGAAATAGTAACTTTGAAACATTTTGGATTCAGCCTTCATTTTGACCAGTTTCCAGAGAGACACAGGCAGGCTTCCAGCAGAACTCTTCATGGTTTTCTGCCAGCTCACTTTGGGTTGTTTCATGGCTCTTTGGCTGTCAGAGGGACTACTTGAGAACTGAGTACCCAAGGCTTCCCTGCTCTGCAATGGACCCAGGGGTCTGAAAGACACAACTTAACATGGGACTCTTAAGGCTTCAGAACTTTTATCCTGCCTTCAACTTCAATAGTGGGTGATGTGGGCCATCCAACCATCATGGCCCTTCCTCCATGTGAGCTGAGCCTGTGACCATGCTAAAATTAGGGGCGTATCAATGAAGACTTTTTTTTTTTTTGCCGATTTTTATTAACTAGCGATATCAGCTGATACTGATCCGATTGCCAATTATGTAGCCCAGCAGCTAGGAGAACAGCGTCCTGGCCAGTAAGTCTGTTGGGGTGGGGGAGAAGAGGCAGGAGTGGGCGAGGCCCCCACGGTGAGCGAGGGAGTAGGGCTGGGGCAGGTAGTCCGTCAGAGCAGGGGGAGGGGCAGGTGGGTGGCGCCCCATGCTGTTCACATCCTGGGGAAGGCATGGAGGGCATGTACCCCCCAGATTTGTGCATGGGGCAAGGGTGGGCTGCCTGTTGCAGCCTCTTGTTGGGGTGGCCGGACTGAGGCTACACTTAGGGTGGGGGTGCTGGGAGGGGGTGTTACAGAGTAGGCTACAGCCACCCCAGAATTTACCATGGCCCCCCTTCCAACACTGCTGCTGCCTATTTCAAGCACACCCCCTCCACGATGTGCCAGGAAGAGGTTGCAGCAGGCAGCCCGCTCTCATCCCACATACAAATCCAGGGGGCATATGCCCCCCATAGTTCCCCTGGGGGTGCACCCAGCAGCAGGAGCTGCCCCTAAATGAGTTGCCCATGGCTCTGTCCCACAACCCACCCTGGCTAGGCAGCACCTACCCCAGCCCCATTCCCCGCCTCACTGGGGGAACCTTGATCTTGCCCCATCTCCCACCCCTCCCAGACTTGCTGGCCAGATGCTGCTCTCCATGCTGCCAGGCTGCACTCCTGGCTGCATGCATGCTGCAGCTGTGCACATGCACACAGCATTTACCTGTGACATTATCAACCACATCGGCCAAATAGCCAATTGCCGAAGATGTCAATTTTCATTTTATCAGTGCCAATACAATACGGACTGACTTTTATTGGTGCACTGTTACTTAAAATTGGAGCAATGTGGTAATAGGTGAAAATTCTTTAGAAAGAGAGGACATGGTATTTTTTTTAAGTGCAGCATGAAAGGGAAGGGAGCCTGTAAAGCATTTGATTTGTTTTGCAGCAAATTTGAACATGTTTAAGCTTAACATTGCTACAGGTAGTTGTTCTTATTTCCTTAAACTGCAGGGGCATACTTTGAGGACATAGAACAAATTATTTGTCTCTTTCTAGCTAGTAGTAGGTTTCATACTACAAGAGCTTTACCGACTTGTGGGGACCTCTTCACAGACTGGATCTGGCCATCTCATCCAGCATAAGGGAGTGGTCTCTCAGACTGCTGCCACTGCTGTAGAGTCTGTTTCTCTACAGTCTGAGTCTCCTTTGCTACAGTGAGGCTGGGAACTGGGGAGCCAGCTGCTTGGAGGGAGAGGGAGCAGAAACTTTCATCACTGGGTGACCCAGGCCAACAAAAGACTGCCTTCCCTTGTAGTGCTGGCCTTGTAACTACCTTCCCAATCTCTTCCTGCAACTACATGTCTCTTCTGTGTTATCTTGCTACACCGCTTAAGTCCATAATATGATTTTGAGTGAGGCCATATAACTGATTCTGGACACGTGCTATTCAAATGGAGTTACATTAACCAAACATTGTGCTTGGCTTGACTGATCAGCGAAGCACTTGAAGCTCTTGTTTAAACATTAGCTCTACTTGAAAGACCACCTACACTTTTTGGTTAGACACTTCAAATATCGGTCTCATGACTGAATCTAATGCAGAATTTTTCTAACTTTAGGTTGTGGTAACCTTTAAACCAGGGCTGGGCAAAATGCGGCCCAGAGGCCAGATGCAGCCTGCCAAGCCATCCTATTCAGCCTGCCTAAAAATATTTAGAAAATTAATATTAATCTGCCCTAGACTGCCTGTCATGCAGCCCTCGATAGCTTGCCAAAACTCAGTAAGTGACCCTCTGCCCAAAATAATTGCCCGCCCCTGCTTTAAACAGTAGGTATGGTAGAGTAATCTATTTAACATCTCCATGAAACAGTCTGTGGGTAAAACTACAAAGCAAACTAGAATTTTTGCAGGCTTCCACTTTAGCTGCAGCAGGACTATTAAATTCTAAATGGAAATTCCTGGATGAGGAAAGGAGACAATATCTGTTTGTCTAAACTTTTTCTTCTAGAGAAATGCAACCTTACATGTATCTCCCAATGTGACACATGATGGAAGCACCTGTGGGAATGAAACATTTGCTCCACTCTTGGCAGTTCAGTTTGGAGCAGGTCATTTTTGGAGCATCAACTTTACAAAGACTAGTGGAACTTACCAAGGAAGTATTGTTACATTTACCTACAACACCAATGATGCTGCTGTATTTCAGGATGCTAAAAAAAGAGGTAAGACCAACTGGATTTTGAATTATGATTAATGGTGACTTCCATCAAAAAAACTCCCATGTGGTAACTTTTTTATAAATGTTGTGTGTCTTCATATAGTGTACCATCCTTTCATTGTTGATGTAGCT